GCTTCTGCATAGAGGACTCAAATCACAGTCTTACAAACTGTCATGCAATTTCAAAAACAGCAATCAGGACCAAAGTTCAAGCAAACTTTAACATACCCTGTGGTAGTATTTAAACCTTCTTTATACCTCCAGTCATATTTCAGATTCTGCCGTCAAAGGCGTGGATTCTAAAGGCAAGGAGTCCAGATTGCATTCAGAGTCTGACACAACATCTGTGTTTGTATCCTCAAGTGTACACACCTCAGCCCCCCTCATTACCCTGTTTTCCTCCTCCTCAAACTCCTCCTCCTCCATCTCAACCTTTTCGAGAGCCACTTCGTTCTCGTAACAAAAGGAGTTCCTGGAGCTGGAGGCATTGGACTTCTTCTCGGCCAGTTCCCTGGCACTGCAGTTGGGCGTGCTGGGCACCTCGTAGGTGTTGTCAAACCGAGAGTAGTCCACTTTGTAGTAGTTCTTTTCTTCAAAGAGCACCGGCTCGAAACGGTGGCCCCAGAGAATCTCGCTGGCCACATAGGAGCTCCGACACTGAGTAGTCATGGCTGTAGCCTCGACCATGCCCTCCAGAATCACTACGATCTCAAACTCGGCCGTTTCCAACTCCTGTTTGCTCATCTCATAGAATGGGCTGTCCTCATCAATCTCATGCACAATGGTAATTGGAGACACCAGGAAGATTCTGTCTATGCCACTGTCAAAGCCCACGTCGATGTCTACCTGGTCCAGAGGGATGAACTCTCCCTCAGCAGTGGTGCGGGATTTGAGGAGCTGGGCTCTGACATGGGCCTCCACCAGGTGACTCTTCCTCAGGTTCCCCACCCGCCACATCAAGCAAAGTTTGCCATCCCTCATGGCCACTGTAGCATAGTGGCTGAACACAAGGGTCTCGTTCCTCTTCTTGGGCTTTGCCATCTTAGCCATGACAGCACCGATGATAAAAGCATCAATGATGCAGCCCACAATGCTTTGGAAGACCACCATAAAAACAGCAATGGGGCACTCCTCTGTCACATAGCGATAGCCGTAGCCAATTGTGGTCTGTGTCTCCACAGAGAATAAAAAGGCAGCGGTAAAGCTGTCCACATTGGAAACACACATCTGAGTTTCATTCTCTAAATCCCCGTAAGAGAGGGCCACTACCCAGAAGACAAAGCCAAAAAACAACCACGACAACAGGAAAGAAAGGCAGAATATCAGCAGCATCCAGCGCCAGCGAATGTCCACACAAGTGGTGAAGATATCTGCCAGGTAGCGCTGGCCTTTCTCACTCATATTGATAAACTGCACATTGCAGTGGCCGTCCTTTCTGACGAAGCGACTCTGACGCTGGTGCTCTGTGTGCCCCTTGTTGACATTGCCATTTCCGTAGCCATTGGGGACGGCAATAGTAGCCAGCTTCATGCCGTCTTCCTCAGAGGACACAATGCTGTAACGGTGGCTTCGCACACTCCCCATCACTTCCACCTGGGAGGGCTGGGCCGATTCTGCTTTGGAAAACAGTCTAAGTTTTTGGTAGAAGCGTTGGAGAAACAGTTTTGAATGATCCCGGGGACAAACTCAAGCAGAAAATGTGGACAACAGGACTCAATCCTGTGGGGAACAGGGAAGACCGGACCTGTGCTTCTGTGGCAGTGCTATGCACCGTAAGTGAGAGCGGGTCACACCTCTCTGACGCCTGCTTTGGACCTCATCAGTAAAGTGGGCTGTGGAAAATACAGAGAGAGAGAGAAAAACAGTTTTAAAGTAATTGGCAGAAACCAGAGCAAAGATCAGTACATATGGGTATGTGGTTACCTGCAGTCTAAATAATGCAGTGTACACTCAATGTTTGCAGCACCGTTCTTGCATACACAGGCAATGTATTAAAAATGTATGACGGGCAGTCAGAGATACAGTGAATGCATTGAGTGTCTACTGTCAGTTTACACTGTCATGTTTACACTGCTTAATCTAAGTATTAATTAGGCAGGTCCGTCCATAGGGAGCTGAGTCAAATTACAGATCAACTTTATGTTAATCTAGTGAGCCACTGGAGCAAAGACACAGTACAAGTCTGAGCTCTGTGCAGACGTGTCTCTAAACTCTACACAGACAATCATAAAGTTATATGTTGTCAAAAAAAACTGCATATTCACTCATTATTGCATTTAATTATTGTGTAAGTGTAGAGTTACATTGAACCACAATTAATGAACCAGTAACCTTGCATTATATGTAATAGAACAACAAGGGCAGCTAAATTAGACAAGCTATTGACTTGGTGTGTGTGGCATGAGAGGTCCATTAAAATACAACACCACAGGCTACAAAAGGCTGTGGACAGCCAGACATGCTGTGCTTGTGCCAAAATAACTCCCCGCCTCCATTTTTTTTAACTATCTCATCTGAGTTTTTTTTCTAATGTGTCCAAGTGGAAAAGATTCCTAACTAAAGTCCAGAGGCCATTTCAGTACATATTCTCATTGTCCTGAACTGCTCATGTTGAAAGTGTAGCACAGATGTCAAAAATCTTCCTCCTCTCTCTCTCTAATCTCTTGATTCGCAGCACAAATCGTTTTCATTCTACTATCTGATTTTGTGCCCGTTAAGCCGTTCTGAAAATGTTCAAAAAGTCATGTGCGGTAAGATGCGCAGGACATGGTCTTCCTAAATGATCTTTGTTTTTCTCAACTAATGATGTCACTGCTAAAAATAGCAACATGTCACTCACACTATTGACAATATGGGGCTCCATTCATCCATGGCTCAAAGGACGGCAAATCATTTGGTTTAATGGGTTTCAGTCATTTTCTATTTGAGTAAAAATGTTGATTCCATCTAAATACTAAATACAAAAAATTACTTGCATAATTTTAGTGATAAAAAACTAGAGCAATATCAGGTGGATTTTATGTGCATCCAGGCCATTCAGTCAACCTTTTTTTTTTTTTAAGGTGAGATTTCTGGTGTTACTGTGACATTCAAACAAACACACACTTCACCGCTCATTGGTGACCCTCCCTGTGCAAACCACATCTCTAACTTTTGACTCTGGTTGCATTACGACCTCTCTCTTTCCCATTGCACCGCCGAGCTGGCTTTTATCTGCTCATTATATCACATCACTTATTGCTGCAGGTTGTTACATGGTGACAGACCAAGGCTTCCAGAGGCTGCACAACCTGTGATTGTTTGTTTTGCATGTGTTCTCAGTTGGAGCCAACAGCTGAGGCAGATGGAAACTGGTTACATAAAGCTGCTCTATTTTTTATTACACAAATCAATAACTATGGCCAATCATTCAGCAGATGCTTTTTTATTTTTTATTAAATGCTTTTGCAACCTTTGTTGCTTTATAATATTATATGTTTTGAGCAATTTCACTTTTCTGTGTTATTCTTATTTATTAATATCTTAAACTTTTAATTCTAAAGTTGTTTTTTTTTTTAAGTTTTATAAAACTGCACCTCATGCACAGACATCATTAATTCAAATCAGGAAAAGGGGCAATGCAGAATATCCAATCAACATCCTTCCTCTAAGACAGATTCCATAAATATAATCACAATAACAACAATAATAAAAAAAAATAAATAAATGAAAGAAAGTGATGTGGAAAACTAAATTATAGCATATAAAACACCACTTCTCAAAAGTGCAGTGAATTTCTCATCACACACGACTTTTAGAGTTTTGTAATTGCACTGCACATGAATAGTTTATATTTCCCACAGCAAACAACGTTTTCCCGCTTCATACACCTACCTGTTGGTCCTTGCAGCGCAAATCTAATCTTTCCTTGTTGTAATAAGTCCCATATGCGCCAGACATGCGCACCTCCTCCTCTCTTTTTATTCTCGCGGCTCTTTTATTATGCTCTCCTGGTTTCCTGTCTGGAGCTCTAAATTCTGCCATAACCCTCTCCAGCAATACTGAAGAAGATATTTGTCGTTGCAAAGACAGACTTTAAAAACACGTGTGCCTGTCCCCGCCCCCGTCGCACTGGCGGCCAATGAGACGCTGCAGCGCCTGTTTGAGGGTCTGAGTCCACAGAGAGGCTGTATATCATCCACTGGAGTGGGAGACAAGGTGATAACAGGCACTCTTTGAAAACTTGATATTGAAAGTGGAGATAAGCAGTACCTGCGGTGCAGAACCAGAGCTGCAACAGACATGCATGCTTGTAAGTTGTGAAGGTGGTCAAAGTGATGAAATGCATGACTTATAGATGAGTTTGGCAACATGTTTGTTCTTTTGTCCATGAGTCTTAAGCAAACACCCTGGGTATTATTGTGTACAATGAGTTCTGTAAATGGTGTCTTTCATAAAATTGACCAGGTTGCAGTGATGTTGAGCGTGTAAACCACAGGGTGGCAGTATAGACCTGCAAAGGGGTTTGAATTGAGACACACAAGCATCAAGTAGCCTCTAGTAATCATCCATCTATACACCGCTTAATCCTCACTAGGGTCGCCGGGGGGCTGGAGCCTATCCCAGCCCTCTTAGGGCGAAGGCTGGGGACACCCTGGACAGGTCGCCAGTCTATCACAGGGCCACACTTAGAGACAGACAACCAAGCACACTCACATTCACACCTACGGACAATTTAGAATCACCAATTAACCTCAACATGTTTTTGGACTGAGTGGGAGAACCCGGAGAGAACCCACGCTGCACGGGGAGAACATGCAAACTCCACGCAGAAAGATTCCGGTGCCCCCACCGGGACGCGAACCGGCGACCTTCTTGCTGCGAGGCTACCAACTGCGCCACCCTGCAGCCCTCTCTAGTAATCATGGGTAAAAGATTTCTTGAAATGACAGAGAAGGCTTTTCAGGCTTTATTTGACTTACATTTGTGGTCATAATTTTAAAGCATAAAGAAACATCAAATTATTACAGGCTAAAAATTCACATATAAACATATTTATAAGAGAACAGCTAATCACACCATTTGTATTCAACAGTTCCCCATGCACTGCAATTCATTGCAGGTTATGCATTGATTTTTTTTTGTTTGTTATTCTACAAAAAGGTTTGGTGCAGCACCTCCTCAGTGATGTCAAGATTCACCTGACAAGCATTTCTGTGTCCATTGCTCTTGACAGATGGTAAGAGTGGGCTGCCCTCTACTGGACGCCTCCTCCTGTCATATTCTTCTGCACTGATGAAGGGCACCGACACCCACGTGGTCTCGTTGAACAGAGCGTAGTCCACCTTGTAGTGCTTCTTGCCCCGTTTCAGTATGTCCTGGAAACACTGGCCCCAGCGGATGTCTGTGGATGTGTAGGAGGTTCGTGTCTGGTGGAGCATGCCCGTGGAGTCACCAGTGTAGGTGAAAGACACCACCAGCTCAAAGTAGTCCTCCTGCAGGTCATCAGGGCCCAGGCTGTAGAGGGGGCTGCCCGGCTCCAGCTTGTGAATAAGGGTGGCTGGTGTGACAAGGACAATGTTCCGGTCCTGGATGTCCAAGTCTTGGTATGACATCACAACAAAGCCGAGTGGTTTTTTCACATAGCGGACTAACTGAGCCCTGGCAACCCCCTCCAGAATGTGATTACCTCTCAAGTCCCCGAGGCGCCATGACAGACACAGGGCCCCGTCCCGCAGGTTGACCACAGCGCAGCTGCTGAAAACCACCGTCTGAGCTCTCTTCCGAGCAGATGCCATCTTAGCCACGACAATGCCAATGACAATGGTGTCAAGAAGACAGCTAAATATATCTTGAATTGTCACCACAATAATAGCCACCATACAGTTCTCAGTCATTACCCTGAAGCCATAGCCAATAGTGGCCTGGGTCTCCATTGAGAACAAAAAGGCTCCAGTGAAGCCACGCACCTGTGCCACACATGGGTTATTATCTACATTGTCAATGTCTCCATTTACATGGGCAATGAGCCAATAAATGAAACCAAAAAGGAGCCATGACACAACATAAGAAAGGGAAAAGAGGAGGAACACCACCCGCCAGCGGATCTCCACAAGAGTGGTGAAGATGTCCGTTAAATATGGGCTCCAGTCTCTATGGGCCTTTTGAAACACCACAGGGAACCTGCCATCCTTCTGCATGTAGCGGAGCTGCCTCTCCTTGTTTCTCTTTTGCCCACCCAGAGTGTGGACGGTGGTACAGTGGGTATCAATGACCTGCTCGCCTCTTTCTGCGCTCATTTTGACAGGCCTACCATTCAGTCTCCTGGAGAAAGACAGGGGGTAGATGGAAATGCAGATGAGGATGTTAGTTGTCCTTTTATGTTTAGCTTGAATAACATGACAGTGTACTCATGAGCTGCACTTTCCTCATTACATGTGACTAAAATGTAAAATCCTCTGCAACTTGTTTGTTAAGCTGAAGCCTTCATGTTTGAGCAAGCAGCCTCGGTCACGCAGCGCCTCAGGCGATCTCTGAAGAACGTACTTCCAGATCACAAACTTCCCTCTGGTTGATTATTTACTGGTAGTTCTTTTGCAGCCTGGACACTGTCCAAATCATTTGTGCTAAAAGCTCCCTCTAATGCCCACATTATGACATTCTCATTCAGCGGGTTATGTTAAAAGTACTCAAGCATTGAATTAAAACTCATAACTATCTGACATACTGTAATGTAAGGATTTTGCAGAGGTTTAAGTTTGGTCAGAATCAGTAACACAGTTATGGAAATGAACTGAAATCAATTTCAGCATTTCATAGTTATACTTATTTGTAAAGGCTTAGTTATAAGATGAAGTAAAAAAAAACAAACTCAGAATCCACCTACTAACAAAATCAGGTCTATGACGTGATTATAAAATACAAACTGTTTTTTGCTATTTTACCCTATGTGCACTTTTACACACTGTAGTACTTCAGTTTGTACAGATATTTACTACTCATCTAGCCAGGACAAAGTAAACTGCTGTCCCTATGTAAAGTATGAGCCACGTAAAAATCATGTGATGTTCTGACAACACACCTCTGCTACTGTCTTTTACTTTTAGAAGTGTCAGCTGTTGTGCCTGGATGTTTAGCTAAATGTTTAGGTTTCTCTGGTTTCTGTGGATGTCACAACTTCTCCACAGTATCCAAAAGCTACATCCACAGCCTCAGCGGTTTTGTTGAACATTTTGTGTGTGAAATTTTGATCGATTTAAAGATCTACTGGGTAGGATTTAGAGGCATCTAGCAGTGAGGTTGCAAACTTCAAACAAGTGAACACCACTAATACACTTATGAAAACAGAATTAGAAATATTATGCTCCATTTCTGCCAATACATCCTCCTCAGTCCTGCATACTTTAAAAAAAAAAATTTTTACACACATCAATTTGATGGACTTTGTTGATATGAAAGGTTCAAGAAGTTTTGTTCGACCATTTTAACACAAATGTGATTTCATAAAAGACTAACTGCAAGAAAGAGACTAGTGAGGAAGGCCACCAAGACATACATGCTGACCGTGATAAAAAGGGAAACCTTCCAAGTTGCAAGTATGTAAACATATTTGCCCTTGACCATCTGATGACATTAACTGAGGCCTTGGGTCAGGGTTAATCTGTCTAAATGACCTCTCTGAGTTTTCTCTGAGACAAGTGTGCTGTCTTCCAGACGTGACCCAGATCAACAACTAAAGGGAACAGTGAGCAATCTTTTGACAATGACATATTGTAAAGAAATAAAAAAGCGTGGTTGTAAACGGTTTATGTTCTCTGACACAAGGAATCCGAAAGTAAGTCTCAGTTAATTAAGCAAAATCTTGACCTCAGTGCAGTGCAGTGCAGTGCAGTTATTCATCTATTTTTGTCCTCATGAGGGTAAATTATTATCCTCTAACCACCTCCAGTAGCTCTCACCTCCAAATGCTTCCTAAAAAGTCAAATTTTAACCACGCTACCTTCATTTCAGTAACTCATAAAATAATAAAGCTGTGACATTTATATCACTTTCTTATTCTGTGCTTTAGTGATCGGGCAGCTACTTGACTTGTGACTGATAAAAGCTTTGCTATCAAGTTAAATGTGGAACACACTCACTGTTAAATCAGTAGTTATTTTTCACACCATGTCCTTCCTGCCAGTCAGTCAGAGGTTTTATTGCTTAATTGAGTCAGATGAGAACACGTACCTTATGCTTATCTCAGTTTATGACAAATAAACTGCTCAATAGTTCTGATTTTACACCTCCAAACTGCCTTGGTTAGGTTGTTTGCGCAAGAGTGGCAAATGCAATCTTTAAAACAGATTTTGTTGTAGTTTGAGTGAGCTGCTGTGGATCAAGAGGTAGTCAGTAAACAAGTAAACAAAAAAAAACACTCAGAGACTGAAAAAGTCAAAGATTGTGTGCATCATTATGCACAAGCTCCTGAGCAGCAGCGCTGCTCAAACACTTAAATCACAGTCCAATAACTGAATTTAATAAATGCTCAGTAATGTTCAATTATCATTATTTGATAATTAGGTGAAATATGCATAGAGTAACATACAATTACCAGGTCATTATGTGTTGTAAATAGGTTAAAACTTGAGTTGTAGTAATCAAAGTTTTATGCAGGTCCATGGACAAGGACAATGAATTCTAGGAAAAAGGTGACTGAACCACCTGCCCAACCTTCAGCACAGACGGAGTCACATTTTTACCAAGAACAGCCTAAACTGTTGTGATGGTTCCAGTCTTTATTTTACCATGCCTTTATAGCTACTATAAGTTTGCTGCTTTGTTCCCGTGGCATAATTTCTGACAGCACTTTCTTTCTTTGCAAGTTTATATATTTTTGTCATTACTTATTTTCATTTTTCATGTTTTGGCTTCTTAACCTTTTTCTGTCTTTTTTCAGTCTGTCATGACAGACTCCATAGAACCACTCTGTGCTGGAGGAAGACACATGAGATGAGTACGCTTGAGTCTCACTTTGAAATTCAGCAGTTGTTTGTTTATGTCATGACTCCTCTGTGAGTTATGGTATTTTATCATTTAAGCGCGTGAAGATTTGTTTTTACATATTTTACGCTGTTATGTTTACTTATTATAACTGGAAGCGACATTATTTTCTGCTTTTTTTTGTGGCTTTTTCTGCAGAAATAGTAAGGTTGCATTTGTCTGTTCTTTTTAATATTTTTAAGTAGCCTACCAGCTTTTAGTCGGTGCTAAAAGATACTGTAAGCATTTTTATCAATATGCAACTTTCGTAGAAACACAAAAGCAATTGTTGTATTTGTCCTTTGCATAGCAATGTGATATTACAATACCAGCAGTATTCTTGTTTATTAAGTAGCCCTTTAACATACCCTAAAACAAGCACAAATATCCCAATGTTCAACTTACTTGCAGAGTAGAGAGTATGTCGGGTGTCACAGAAGTCCATCAGATCTTTCCTGCATTCGACAATGTGTTGCCCAGCTGAAATAACCTCTGCGTTCAGCTGGTTCCAGAGTGTGACATTGTAGGGGGCTGGCCTGGTCCTGAGGCAAAGTCCCACTTGTTCAGATATCAGAGTAATTGTTTCTCTCTGAAACCTTATTGGATAGTCCAGAAGGATTTATGACCTGTGGAATATTTTAAAGATTCCTCGAGACAAAGACTTCAAATGTCCCGTCCTGTCTGAAACAGTTTGTCCCAAGACGATGACACAGAAGTTGTGTAACCTAAAGAGCCTTCCACTAGTTAGTAAAAGCTGAGATATGCTGCTGATTTCTTCTGCAGGTTATTTTTCAGGTATGCCTATTTCAGTCATTTCCCTTAAAATTTCCGTGATTCATTAGACAGGAAGTTAACCTTTGCTCAATCAGGTGGAGACGTCATTGGCGCAAGGATTTTCTTTGTCTCGATTGTCCTCAATTTAGTTCTGATAAGACAAGAAAGATCACAACTGCACCGCCAGGACGCGCTAACTGATAAACCACATTTATTGCAGCCATAAGAGCAAGCAAAGCTGTTACAAAGTGGTCAACTACATCAAAACAACCTTGTTGTGTTTTTAAAAATAGAACACGATTTCCCCCCCTCGCCTTTAAAACTCACCTGATTCACCGTCTATTGGTTTGTTTTTTTCAAGATGATGTGTGAAGACAAAGATAAGAGACATTCCTCTGAGAGATAACCTGGAAAGAAGAGTTCAGTAGTGTCATTCCCAGGAAGCAGCAGCTTTAGAATCAATAAGTGACAGCAAATAGGATAATTCTTTTACTACAGTTCTAAAAATACCCAACTATGACAGTTACAGGGCAGCAGATTGAACTGCATTGATTTAAATGTTCCACACTTCAAGTTGCCCAGCCGTTGGGTTTTTTTTAAGACACCACACAAACATCCAACAATGCAAATCGAATCATATTTTAATAACAGAAATTTGAGGGAAACAGGGCAGGGGTAGACTGATGTGGCCCAAACAGACCCACAAATAATGACATGCATGTATCTAAGGAGTCAAAATTGAACATGTAAGGTGTTCACAGCAAAACATTTTCATAAGAAGCTTTTCAGTACTAAATAGGAAAAGACTATGTGGTTGTGATTCAAACGAAACACATTCTGCTGCTGCAGCATTAGTGATGAAGAAGTTGGCTTGAATGGAGGAAGTTCAGAGTGCAAGGCATAATAAGGAAGAACTTGGAGAGATTACAAGCTGCCCTGTAAATAAGTGAATACGGCAAAATCAAAGAGCGATGATGGTGGGTACAACGTGCCAGAATGAAGGCCACATCCACTTTGTTCGCTGGTTTATGTTGTGCAATGACACTGATGGAATATTCTGGTATTCTGAAGTAAACGTGAAATGTAACAAGCACACAAAGGAAGGGACATCGAGCGGAAACTGAAACCAGACAATCACTCAACAAAAACTCAGGGTTGCCACTGTCTCACTGGATGGTCAAAGAAAGCTCCTGAAAGAGTGTTAAATTAGCAAGTGTTTCCAAATGTTTGCAGGATGCTAATGGTTCCACAAAACTGGTGGAGTCAGAGTCAAACCCAGCAAGATGGTGGCAACACATAGGGAGGTGAGATCATGACTTCAATCTATGAACCCAATCCAAGCTATAACCATGAAAAAGTCAATGTACAGCTGAAAATGATCTCCCCCTTTCCTCATGATGAGCTTGATTTAAGTCCAGACACACCAATAGCGCCTAAGATTGAGACATCTGGTTCATTTTTTCCCCCCCTACATGTATATTTTACATTTCTACACCATTATAGCCACGACATTTGTACATTTGAGAAATATATACTGTGCGAGCACATTTTATAATTTAGAACTAACCTCATATAACCTCGTGAGTCAATTTACAAATATAATAAGTGGCAAAAAGAACAAATAATAAAACATGAATTCATCATCCAGCTGTCAAAACAAAGTGTTTTTAATTGCCACGCCTTTCCTCAGCTGCATTGAAACCACACAAGTCTTTGTCCTGCATCCATGAGTGAAGCGCCATGGTACACTCACGTCTCTATTACCCCACCCTTCTGTATGGCAGCCACAGTTTCAGCCAGCTGTAGTGACAAATAGCAGCTGGTGCGATCTGGGTCTGCAGGCAGGTAAACACACTGAGCCAGTAATTAGACTCATGTTCTGACTGTTTGCAGAGGATTACATGTTCTGTAATTAAACACGCGATGGTATTCTTAAAAGCTATTGTGCGTATTCTCTTAAATCATGCTTATGTTGTCCCTTCCTTGCTGTGAATATGGGGTCAAACGTCATGAGAACAGGTCTATATAAGCGTCATGTTGGGCTCAAACCAAGAGAAAGAAAGACGACAGGGATGGTGAAGAGTAAAGCGGCACACAGCTGTCAGTAAATCTGTATTTATTAGTTGTATATGAGGCCTAATAGTTGCTGTTAGAAATGTTGAAATTTCCGGTCCACAATGTGGAGAAGGCAATCTTCCTATTGAGTTTACTAACTGTAGGTAAGTATGATTTAACTATATTGTGGGGAACATTTGTTGAAATCACTTTAAGAAGCTAAAGGTAGGTTTGAAGGAGTATTTCTAAAATTATTCAAGCGATTCCCAATTTTAGGTTCAGAACTTGCCACACCCAGCTGCACAAGTCGCCGATGTCTGGCTCAAACGTTGATCGCCAAAGAAGTTCTTTCTCAGCCACAGGAGGACAACTGCACTAAACCGATTTTTGTGCCATTCCTTGAGTACCAAACTCTGTCAGTTGTAAGTATTTTTATGTGTATTTTACAGTGAAGTTCATTTTTTCTCCTTTATGATCTCAAACATGACAAAAAGGTGAGTTCAGCTTCTTCTATGTGTGGTTACCCTCGATTGTTTTAAATATCTTTATTTTGTGTTGGTGGTATTTGTTGATATAAAATTAGATTAGCTAAACATAACATGCCTTAAAAAAAATCAATTTAACTGAACACTATTTTAAGAAACAGGAACACATGCAGATGAACTATTTCAACTTTTCCATCAGCTCTCTCTGACCTTTTATCTTTTGAACAGGATACAAAGAATCTCCGCCTGATTATTCGCCTGCAAGCCGTACTTGTAAGTTTAACGATACTTTGAAATCAATAAAGTGATAGACAAACAGTGTTTCTATCACAGTGATCTTGATTTTAAAACACAGGTGTGGATAGATCCTGAGCTGACATGGAACACATCAAAATACCCGGTCGAAGAAGTGATTCTCCCAGTAGCAAAAATCTGGACCCCAGAGCTCCATGTAACAAACGGGTAAGTTAGATACACAGCAAGAGACCGTCAGTTATTATGACAAAGTCAATTCATGCATTTCTTGAAATTCCTTTGAGACACCTGCTACCTCTGGTCTGTAGAATAGTAGCAACTATGCAGCACAGCTCTCGTGATCTGCTGGTGTACAACAACGGCACTGTGAAGCACAATGTGATCATCAACGCGGAGGTCAACTGTGAAGTCAACCTGTTCAACTATCCCTTCGCTGCTGACCAGTGTCCTGTCGCAATCCAAGCCTGGTCCACTGATGGTGAGCTCAGCAATTGACTGAAAATAATCCTAATAAATTAATATCACATTAATGCTATATTAAACATTTGGAACAACCATGATCATCATCAGTCATCGTTTTAACTATGTTCCCGACTAGTTGTTGCAGTTGTCTTTAATTTAAAATGTACAATCATTTAAATGGCATTTCAGTTATTTTACTGTTGTCGTACTATTGTGTTATTAAGGGTGAAAAGCAAAAGCAAAAACATAGAGGACCGCAGCATTTCTTTAACAACCTCAATATAAGGCGGTTAATGCAGCACTTGTGCTACCAAATGTATGCATTTGACTATTTATGTGTTGCCTTTGCAATTATTACACTAGACATATTGATTCAGATACTAAACATCAGTGGGTATTTATGACATGGCTTCAGTTAAAAACAAACAAGGTTGTATTTAATTCAGGATGTGGTACGAAGCTGGCACTTGGTGTGTTGAAGATGGTTGATGGAGCCCACGGAGATTGGCAAACTGAAGATGTGGCCTTCCGGAAACAACGAGACGACCGCAATTACATCATGGTAAGTTCTTGAATTATCATTTATAATTAAAATAGGAATGCTCAAACAAGGGCTGCAGGTGGCACAGTTGGTAGCACTGTTGCCTCGCAGCAAGAAGGTTGCACCGGAATCTTTCTGCGTGGAGTTTGCATGTTCTCCCCGTGCAGCGTGGGTTCTCTCCGGGTTCTCCGGCTTCCTCCCACACAGTCCAAAAACATGTTGAGGTTAATTGGTGATTCTAAATTGTCCGTAGGTGTGAATGTGAGTGTGCTTGGTTGTCTGTCTGTAAGTGTAGCCCTGTGATAGACTGGTGACTTGTCCAGGGTGTCCCCTGCCTTCGCCCTAAGTCTGCTGGGATAGACTCCAGCCCCCCCGTGACCCTAATGAGGATTAAGCGGTGTATAGATAATGGATGGATGAATGCTCAAACAAAGTCAGATAAGTCGATCAACACAAAACCTTTGAGCTCAAATGATAAACGTTCTCTGGTCACGGTCTCTCAGATGTGACGACTGGTTGCTTTTCTGATGGGAAGTGTAATGTGTTTGAGTTTTATGGTTGGACAAATGATACAAGTTGAGCAATGAATCATTTTGGGCAATCTCTGGGAAATTATAATGAACCTCATTATTTTGTAACATTTACTAAGAAAAATGTCCAAGCAGCCCAAGACGGAACGTCCTCTTCATATCTCCACTGGAACATTGCCTAAATAAACAACTTGCCTTCTACCACCCCTTTGCATGAGTATTTACTATTTCCACCACCAACAAAATGTATGATGGAGTTCTAAAAAAATAAAAAAGAAAAGAAAAAGCAGTTTTTAAATTGTTTCAACGATGTCTTTTATGCTCCAAAGGTATCACTCCGCATCAAGCATACCAACCCTTTCATAACGCTGCTGCTGCCCAGTATTCTCATCATCTTGGCGGACATGGTCAGCTTTGCTCTACCACTGGGAGGCGGTGAACGCAACTCTTTCAAAGTTACTCTGGTGTTGAGCTTCACCATGTTCCTCAACATCCTCAATGATCAGCTGCCTGGCGACAGCACATGCAGCCCCGTCATCCGTGAGTCGTGCTGCACATAAACATAAGAAGATGCAGGAAAAATATCCAAGCAGCATCACAGTCTAAACATACATCTGTGTCTGTAGGAACCCACTTCTGTATTTGCCTGATCCTCCTGGTGTTGAGCATGCTGGTGTCCCTGCTGCTGACGAGGGTAGCCCAGGATGGCAGCCTCATCCTCTGCTGCTGGTCCAAAGGACCAGCGCCGAAAAACAGAAAGAGCAAGGAAGAGAAACAGGATGAGGGTGAGGAAGACTTGTTGTTTTGACACTGAAGAGGGTGTTTTGATGCTCACTGAGCCTTGATTTTTGATCTAATTGTTTCTTCAGTCTTCACAGAAGCCAAGGCTGACATCAGCGTCATACAGCTGGATGCCTCACAGGAGAACACTGAAACACTCAGAAAGGTGGTCAAGTTCTTGGAGGCCCTTGATACCAAAGAGGTGGAAAAGGAGCAGCACCAGAGGATTGCCAACTTATTGGACAAGATCTTCTTCTGGTTCTATTTCATTTTAGGCATTACATACTTTGTTGCCATGACTACTGTGATGGTCAAGTATACATGCTCGGTCAACCATTTTGATTTCTGGTATGAAGAGAACTACTAATTGTCTGTTATTGCAAGTCCTGACCCGCTAAAACCAAGTACACAATATTTATTCAGCCATATTTATCTCACATATACTATTATATGCAAAACATTACAGGTTTGTTATAGTTTGTCTCTGGATGTTTAGCAAAACTGAGGTTCTGAAAAATCCAAAAATAAACTAATTTCATCTTTCTCCCGATTTCTGTTTTCTTTTTTTTTAATCAGTTACATCACATGGTGAATATATGAAATGATTGTATACTGGGACAGGTTGATTGATAACAAAATTGGCCCATCAACCCTAGAACATGCACATTTTATTCAAGAGGATTTGCTCAATATTTAACCACATCTGCTTAAGGACTTGGATGGCAGAATTCCAAGATGTTACACCAAGGGAATTTCATCCCATAATAATAATGTGTTAACATTACAGTATGTCGACCTAAGTAAATGCAATAACGTGCTCTTTGGTGGACATACTGTAAATGCAAACGTAGTAAATACAAGAAGAAAGTCAAATGTACTTAAGTGCTGGATCACAATGGGCTAAACAGTGAAGCTCCTGGGATGCCACCTTGTGGCTGAATCATTCCCTGGCAACACACTGCAGCCTTCACATTAACGTGATTCCCCACCCAGCTCCTCTGATCTAGACCTGATGAGATAAACCAAACCAGCAGGATTTCAGCATGAGATGAATATTATCTCTCTTTATGTCCACCATAAAAGCAAAACAGCTGATGGGCAGCTAATGAAGCGTGAATATACTGATGTAATCGACATCTAAATTATGATGTTTTATATCCTCTTACGCCACCATAAAACTACTTTGTTACGGTGTTCTGATGCAGTAAATATATTTGCAATGAGCAATTAGAAAGATTGACATTTCCAGTCCAAAATGATAGAAAACCTTTATTATGCTATTTGTAAAACACAATTTCCCATCAGAAAATTACCTTTTTTCATATGAAAATGTATCAAAGAAGCATTCAGTTCAAAATATTTTAATCTTTATAAAGTATAATTTTATCCCTACAATGTCATTTATAACAAACCTTTCAGTAAAAAACATAAAGCTTAATTTTAAAGGATTATCCACAACCTAGAGTTGATTAGCAGCCACAATAAGGTAACAACTATCTCCATACTTGTTCCCAAAATTTCCTTTTTACAATATACAGTAAACAATCATTTTAAAGACAATGACTGAAGTTGTTTTTTAAATCACAAAAGCAGCAAACCAACAGGAATGATACCTGTGAAACAAGTTATTGCTTAGATTTTAAGTGCAGAACTTACAGCCAAACCTCTTCACACATTACCTTCTTAAGTCCTGGTAGGATAAATGAGGTGAAATTTAAACAAACCATACATCCTCTCCCAAAAAAGCCCAGCCACCTTTTCAATGGGAATAAAGTAAATGCAATGAGCCCATCAAGTGTTGAACTCCATCATGCTCCACATAATCTCCATGCATCCACCTCAAGGTCTCTCCTTTTTCTTCATTGCCTTTGGTGAAAAAACAAATAAAATATGAATGTAATAATAATACTGTGGACAAAAATATGGAAGGGCAAGGTTTGGATGACATTTCACATACCTGTTGAAGAATCTGGACACCAAGGAAGTTCTTTGCCATGTTTCTCAGGTTGGACTTTCCACCCACTTTGCATCTGACATAGCCGTACAAGTTGGCCCATTGTAAAACCAAGCCCATTATTACCACAGCCTGGGGGCAACAAATAGAGAATGAGACGTGAACCAATGACTAGCAGCAACTTAGACTGACAGAAATTCATCAGGCCTATACATACAAACACCCTGAACTGACCAGCCATTTAATCTTGAAAGAGAAGATGGTGCTAAACACAAAAATGATCCAGAAGACGGGGCACACGATGAGTCCAAGCCAGAAGATCCGCGAGTCGGCAGTGGATGTCGTGTTTGCTCTGTGTGTCTGTTTAAAAAAAAAAAAAAGTATCCAAGGTTAAAGTTCAGTTAATACAAATCAAAGAAAACGTGTCAAATATCCCCATTGAGCTGTATGATCAAGATGACAATGCAGCTGCTATGTGTTACACTGCCCTCCATTGTTCAGTAAGGTTATGCAGCTACATTACACGGTAGAAATGCTTAACAATGATTACATTTATTACCCTGAAAGGTGAAGTCTGTCAAAGAAATGAGAGATGCACTCTATTATCTGCAAACTGCAGGCCAGAATGCATGTCTTTTTGAGCATCCCAATACTTAGTGAGATTTCTTTTATTGAAGTTGTTTGCTGTCAATATCAAATTTAATCATAAAAAGCAAATGTATGTAAACTGGTAAGCATAAAGAGAATGTTTTTGCTCTTTTCTTGTCTTTGCAGGTGCATGTTTCATATGGAAAACCTTGCTTTTGCCTCTTCTTGAGCTGAAAAGAGTTCTGTGCAAACAGCTACTCAGCAAGTAATTTATGCAGGTAAATGTCCATTGTGGTGAAAATCCATTTCTATTGTGTCGTGTATATCTTAAAAACTTGGAGCTGTTAAAGAAATGCTGTAATAATAAATTCTAAGTTTCTAAGGAGCATTCAGAAATAATGGAACTGTCAGACATATTTGTAACCAATCACTGTGTTTTTCTGCCACCATCTGTGCTTCAGTGCAACCCAGCCGGCGTTAACATGTGTTTGCTTCTCTCCTGGTCACACATACTACATTTTAATACAGCCAATTTCCCAATACGTACGAAGATATAATAGCAAATGATTTGTCGGCTGCAATGTGATTAACTGTGCAGCTCTGTGTAGTCAATCACAGACGCAGAGAGCATCTTGTTCCTGAAGGGGGTGTGGACAGCAGCAGACCAGCTGCATCTAAAGCTACAGACACTGAAACAGCTCACTGAGCAGGAGGCTACAACCAGTTACCAGTGGTCATACAGTCATTATAAACTTGATTATCTTTCAAGTAGTTTAAGTTGAAAGATTGAAAGACACATTCTGGGAACACGTAAGACTTCAATTAATTTGCTGAAAAGCGGCACAGTATTGACTTTAATAACTACTAAGCTTACCTTCCTTGACTCAAACACCCAGTGGCTCCTGCCCGCTGCATCCACGTGATTCCACCACCGAAGACCCACCAACAATCTGCCAGATACATTCTACAAACCAAGGAAGACGTCTGTAAGCTTTTATTTGATTCATTACAATATACACCTTTACTTTTATTTTTATTCTTATTTGGAATTTAACTGTACTCTGGCAAAACAATTTCCTTCGGGATGAATAAAGTTTATCTTTATCTTTATCTTTATCTTTGTTTAAATATTCACAAAATAAGGAAACAAGCTATGGCAATGCATTACCTACAACTACATGAATTCCTGAATGGTTTCTACCATTAAGATGTTTTTGAAACAAAACACTAATTAGTTGCTTAAAAAAAATAATTGACAGGTTAGTAAGTCAGACAAATCATTAATATCTTGTGCAGATGTCAGGCATGACTTATCAATTTTTCGCGCTAAATTTATGTAGTACACCTAAAAATAGTCACCTTGACAGTCCAGAAGTCACATGACAGCAGAAGGATGATGGTGACCATACAGATGATGAACTGACTGCTGAGGATGTCGCACAGTAAGTAGACCACGATGGCACTGGTTCTGAAGAACAGGTGGAAGAAGGAGGCCAGAGGATGTCTGAAAAACACACCGACATTACATTAGTACTATTTAAAATAAAGGTTAAATTTGGTTAGAATAGTGGACCGATAGATATAAACACACCATACTTAATTTTAGACTTTCTTATCCCTGCGTCCTCTTCACCAAAAAGAGGAGCGTCTTGGGAGTCCTAGAAACAGAAAAACACATTAACGCTAATGGCTAAAACACACCGAGCAGGTATTTGGCTGCTTCTCAGCTTAGTTTGTAATTTCAGTCCAATACATGAGTAATATTAAAGTTGAAAACAACAAGTAAGATGTGCTATACCGCATTCAATTTAAAAGCATCGCTTCTAAACAGTCACAAACTTTGCATCGCTTACCTGTCTCAACATTTTGGCACCAAAGGTATTTCCTGGTGACGTGTTGTAAACAGAACCGTGTGCTGAGGACCCGCACGGAGGTGTGGCCTTAAATCTGCCTGACTGAAAAGTAAGCCTACTTAACATATCTTTATTACATAAATACCCATTTCTGTGTATGTGTATTGTATTAATAAATACGTGGATTTTAGACTTGTACGGAATTCCAGAAGCTTACTAAAATGTTTGTAACTGACTTATTTTATGTTCTAAGTCCTAAAAGTGCTTTATGAAGAGTTTGAAGATGTTTTCTGGATACAACCATTTGGGCTACACTGTAAAATATCATGAAGAAATTTAGTCAAATCAATGAATCTTTTCAAGTTTACTGAATGTAAATATATTAGTTGTGCTTGTTTCTGTTTATATTTCTTTCTAAATGTATTTTCAAATTGCTTTTTAACTTAAAGATAAGAGTTCTTATAACTTTAGGCATTTAAACAGAACATAATGTGTTCAGTGATTGAACAGCAGCTCCTGAAATTAGGTTATTAAGAATCAAAGGTAGAATATATGCAGACTTCCCAGGATGGTGTAAACTTGTTCTGTGTCTTTATTATATGTTTTAATTAAGTTCTGATTGTTTCTTTTACATTATTCAAAGCAATTCTAACCATGATAATGGTATAGATAATGGAATTCAGTCCATCCGTCTGCAGATGTATCACTGTTGTCAGTGTTGCTGGGTATAGCGTCACAGGTTGCCTTTAATTGTTCAAAATGCCTTCAATTACTGAGGCTGTAAGAGAAGTGCCAAATGAAGAAGAAAGCCGTTAAAGTTAAAGAACTGCAAAAGAAAAGCCTTTCTTCTGTAACCATTATTTATGTGACTAGTAAAGTCAACTTAATAACTTGAGTTTATTTAACTTGTTTTTTTTCAGATTGGGTAAAATCAGTTCAGCCAGTTTTCCACTTTCTTGGCTCACAGAATGACTTTAAAGTAACTAATCAACCTTAGTGCAGTTAACTCACATTTGAAGGCAGTGGGGGAATTTAAGTAAAGCTGAATGACCTTAAAATGATTTACAGTGTATGGACACAGAAACATTTCCATTCATACTGGTACAAGGGTAAGAAATCCATCATACAGTTGATACCAGAAGTTTACATACACTGTATAAAAAGACCTGTAGCCTTTTTTTCTCACTGCCTGACATTGTCTGTTTTAGGTCAGTTCGGCGTATCAAGATTATTTATATTTGCTAAATGTCAGAACAATGAGAGAGAAAATTATTTAGGGATTTTTTTCACTACTTTCTTCAGAGTCAGATGTTTACATACACTAAGATTACTATGCCTTCAAACTATTTGGGAAAGCCCAGATGATGATGTCATGGCTTTGGAAGCTTTTGATTGGTTCATTGACAACTTTTGAGTTAACTGGTGGCACACCTGTGGGTGTATTTTAAGGCACACCTCAAACACACTGCTTCCTTTTGCCAATCAGCCAAGATATCAGGAAGAGAATTGTGGACCTCCACAAGTCTGGGTCATCCTTGGGTACAATTTCGAGATGCCTGAAGGTTCCACGTTCATCTGTTCAAACAATTATATACAAGTATAAACACCATGGGAATGTCCAGCCATCATACTGCTCAGAAAGGACACGGGTTCTGTGTCCCAGAGATGAAGTGTTTTGGTGTGAAATGTGCATATCAACCCCAGAACAAAAGCAAAGACCTTGTGAAGATGCTGCTGAAGCTGATAAGAGAGTGTCATTATCCACAGTGAAACCAGTCCTGTACTGATGTGGGATGAAAGGCTACTCATAGAGGAAGAAGACATTACTACAGAAGCAACATTAAAAACGAACAATGACCCTAAGCATACCGCCAGATTAGTTACAAAGAGGCTTCAGGACAACAAAGTCCATGTTTTGGAGTGGCAATCACAAAGCCCTGATCTTCAATCCTGTAGAAAATTTGTGGGCAGAGCTGAAAAGGCTTGTGGAGCAAGGTGGCTTATAAACCTGACTCAGTTCCACCAGTTCTGTCAGGAGGAATGGGCCAGAAGTCATCAAACTAATGTGAGAAGCTTGTGGAAGGAAACCCAAAACATTTGACCCAAGTCATACAGTTTAAAGGCCATGCTACCAAATACTGAGGAACTAAGGAAATGTATGTGAACTTCTGACTTTTAAGAAAGCAATTTTTAAAAAAATAAAAAAAGTTCTGTCTCATTATTCGGACATTTAGCAAAAAGAAACAATTTTGGCAATTCTTACCGACCTAAAACAGGAAAAGTTTAGTCTGATTTAATGAAAAATAAAAAATAAAAAAGGTTCGATGTCTTTTTATACAGTGTATGTAAACTTCTGGTTTCAACTGTATCTAGTGTTTTTAAAACTGCAAAATTGAGAAAACAAGGTGCTGTGTAGTGTTTTTGTTTGATAATTCATTGTTCTCTTAGTAAAGTTGTCGATCAATTAATCAACCATTCAAATTATTGCTTTTACAGCAGTATAGTGTGATTTTGCGAGGCATTTTATGATAAGCTACTGCTATAGTTTTGCATTTGGTCAACTACTACTATGATCAGTAACAATAGGACTAATGATACTTATAATGATAATTTGTATTAACAATAGCACTAATAATACTTACAATGATAATACGTATTAACAATAGTACTAATGATACTTATAATGATAATTTGTATTAACAATAGTACTAATACTTATCATTGACTTATAATGACAATAATGATAATAGAAACATTGTTGGTACATTGAATTATTCTCTTTTACTCTGTTTACTTTATTGCTTACTTTTATTTTGTGCATACACATCCTGGAACATAACTCAAGTCATACAAGATCAGCTTCACAATTAAATATTTTCGTAACTTTTGAACATAACATCATCACGTGCTACAACATGGGAAACATCAAAGGAAGGATATTAGTCAGTCAAATTATATTTCACAATTTTATACAGAAAAAATAAATCATTAAAGAAATCACAGTTTATACAAAAAAGTTTTACAATATTAAAGACGTTTGCCGTACTCATATGCTCCTGTGCTATGAGCACAGAAACACCTCAAACAGACTGGCGACTGAGTGCATTCGGTAAAAGATGGCAAAAGGAAGTCCAATATTCACGACAGCAGACCACATGTTGAATTTGTAGAATTCAGTTTCAGTGTCGTGATCAAACTGGGGACGTGCACCGAATGCAGGCATGATCCACAGCTGTCAAAGACAGAAACAACAGGCTTAGTGTGTCGTGAATTTAAAACAGAGAATTTTAAGGTGTAAGGGAGAAAGAAAGTTACTCACGATGACATTTCCCAGCAGCAGAAACACACAGACTTCCTTCAACACCCGTCGCTTCCATGACAGCTTGTGTCTGTGCTCAGTCGTGTGGTTGTGCGATGTGGGCGCAGGGTTGGATTTTGTGTCCATGTCTGGTCCTTCAAGGATGCTGAGATCTTTGCCTGGCTCCAGCACGTATGGATTTGGAACAACAGTGACTGGTTCTATTTCATGGAAGGGTTCTCGATGTAGACCTTCAATTATGAAAAAGTTCTGCAGGCCAAGCTGGAGCACCATCAGTATAGCCCAGGCCAGGTTGAGACCGTTCAGGTAGCCTTTGGCTCCAGTTGCAACCATAGCTACGATGCTGAAATAGCTGATGATGAACTGTCCCATCGAGGCTCCAACCAGCAGCCCCACATCCAGGCTGCGCGTGGGGTTTCTCTCTGACACGTGTTCCCTGTGATCTATCTTGTAGATGGCACAGCCGATCACAGTGGACACAGACATCAGGGTCACTATGACTATATTCATGACAAAGTGCATCATCACCGCTGTGTCCTTCTTCTTGTCGTCGTATTCATCTTTTTTCATCTCCATCTCGTATACAATAAATGTAACCAGACCTGTGATTACTAAGAAGATTCCGAAAACGGGACCAAGAAATATATCCTTTAGACTAAATTTGATGTTGTGGTGGCCATGCTCGGCTGCTACTCGGCCTACGTTTTTCCACATGACGTAGGCCATGGCCGAGGCAAACAGGCTGTACTCGATATTGAAAGGGTACAGGTAGTAGTAGGCCTCCTTGAAGATGCTGCATGATGTGTGGCTGCACTTGCACTTTTCGTCTCCATAACCCGCTGTAAGACATGACATGGTACAGAAAGAGAGAAGTGTTAAGTTGCGCTTTCTCACTGACTGCTGTATTTACTTTGATTGCTTTATCTGCTTTAATTACCTTTGCTGATGTACAGGTTTCGTCCAGACAGTTTAGTGGTGTTGTCTGGATAGGAGTCTGGATAGTCGGGAAGAACTGTTTGGTGAAGGGACTCCTCTGTGACATTCGTCATCCATAAAACTAGATTTGTAGAAAGGGTTAGCATCAACCCGCAGCTAAATAAAAAGAACAAAGAGGCAAGATGAAACAATGATCGGAGGTCATTTATTTAAACTTCGCATGACTTAAAACAGTTAAAATTTGTGTTTGCCAAGTGATAATAGCCTTTTTTTTTTTTTTTTTTTTAAATTCAATTAGCTTCAAGTCATTTACGTTTATTACAGTTTCAAGCTAAAGCATGATTAACTACAAACTGAACTATACATTAGTCAGTAGATGGTTGCAATTTTGCTTATCAAGTAATTTTTAAAGCAAAACTGTCCAGAATTATCTGGTTTCAGCTCCAGCATTTACTTGTTTTCTTAGTCATCTAAAGAAGTTTTAATGCATTTGAGTTTTCTGAAGTTTGTCAGATAGAACAAGCATTTTAAATACATGAACTTTGCTTCTGGGAAATTGTGTTTTTAATTTTATTTAATTTTTTAAAAATTGTTTTTGACATTTCACCTACAATTCATTGACTAAATAAGAAAATAACAGACCAAAAGCATATAATGAAAATAAGAGTTGCAACCTTATAACGGTTTACATCAACAAAAATAATAAATATGTCCTATTAGATTCTGCAAATTAGACAAAAAAGAAAAACATAAAGCAGTGACATAACGTCAGTAATAAGACAGCAGCTATAAGGTAAGGTCATTCTCTATTATCGAGGTGAGTCTCTGTGTCTTTGGAACATGATGAAAAAATAATAATATTCAAAAATCAAAACAAATCACAGAGACAGTGAGTGATTTTAAAGAAGAGGCAGAAATCTGTAATCACCTACCGCGTAACGTTCCTTTGCAGCTGCACACAGTCTTTGGAATGGATCCACAAAAAGTATGTCTGAAATCAATTTCACAATTATTTTCATATTTTTACAATCATCAAAACCAAAGTAAATGTTACATACTGGCTTTTTGTGTTTTTTTTTTGTTGTTGTTTTGTTTTTACAATTTTATATTTACCTGTATAAGTACAAAAATAAGTTGTATCACAGGGAATGCAACTTTAACAGCAGAATCACAGTGGAGGTATCCCACGTAGCTGGCTATCTTGAAAATGTCCATGATAATACTGAGGAGTCCAAATAGCACAAGTCCTCCTGCAGGAGACAGAACATGCAGAACAGTGGAAAAGTAATAAACTGCACTAGAATTGCTCTGTAAATGAAAATGCACGTTTGTAAGTAATGTTGACTTACCCCTGAGCCATACAGGTCCAGCATGGTCATCCTTGTAAATGACAGCATTTTCTGTCCTGACTGTGTAAATGCAATAATAAACCATCCAGATGGAGGTGAGGAGGAGGATGATGATGAGGAAAACCTGCAGGTCAGGGGTGCTGATTTTGACATTGTTGTAAGCGCTGCCGCTGACTAAGGCACAGCCCAGGATCAAAATGTTTACGCAGATGATCGCTGACACCATCCATCCCCAGTTTCGGCCTCGCTCCCTCACGACCTCCGTGGACGAGCTGTTCAGGTCGGGTTCACTCACGCTCCCCGTCTGACCCAGTGCGTTTATGTTGTTGGACAGGTGGGCTTCCTCCGTTTCCCGGTCTTTGGCCGTCATCCTGCATGGTTCACAAAGATTGCCACCGGTCAGACAGTTACACAGATAGCCAGTGATGAAACACATGACTGCTTTCTCTAAGATCTATTCACAAATGAGTAGTTTGCTGCGTCTAGTCCCATAAGAGAGATGACAGGTTTAACAACTACACCCAGTCGCTGGCTCCCTGTAACGACAGATCCCGCCCCAGTGAAGCCTTTCCGTGAACAGGAACTCAGCATCATTGCCACCCTGCTGGTGTTACACAGCAGTTTCAAATCAGCAAGTATGAGTTAATTTCCCCTTGGTTTGGCAAGATGGGCACGTTGACAATGCTGTGCTCAGTGAAAATCCACAAAAATGTTGACATGGATCAATTGTTCTGTCAACAGTATCCTCTCCATCTTTGATAAAATAACATCAGTACAGGTGAAAAAGTTGTGTAATAATGTGAACACAGCCCTTATCAGTTACCCAAATCAAGCTCTTGTGCCAGTTCAACAAAGCAATGGCCTTTTTAAAAAATCAGGCTAAAGCTCTTGGATACGCGCCGGCTTACCTGGCAGAGTGAGATCCTGAGAGCAGTCCGAGCTGTCAAGGCTTATATACGCCTCAAAAACACAGTGGTTTACTGTGTAGAGTCATAAATGTCAATAAATCTGTTATGAACAACACCATATTATTACCAAACACAGCATGTTTTGCACAAAATATTCAGTAAAGTTCAAAAGATGGTTCCAGGAAAAGCCTTTTCTCACGATTCCAAAATACAAGGAACCGGTTCCTTTTCAGAACAAAAGCAATTCTCTTGATATTATATAATACATTTCTTAATGCCGGTCACTTGTAATAAAACTTTCAATTGCTTGGATAATGATAAAGTTACGAAAAACAAAACTATATGTATAATATTAAATATGAAAACCATTTTCTCCATTACTCCTTTGCATTTATAAACACTTTTTAAAGCTTTACAGGTTGTGTTGTCTGTGTTTTTTTTTTTAACTTGATCCTGTTTTTTTCTGCTGCACCTGACCAGGTGCAGGTTCACCTTGCAATCTAAATGTGATCTAAATTCTCTAAATAGGCGTAGCATGTGTTACTCTCTTATCTTTTGTATCCTCGGCTTGAAGGGAATACTTTCTGCTCTTTAATGCTATTCAGACGTGCCTCTGCATTTTGCCTGAGGTGTAGTACATGAAAAGCCTGGTCACTATCTGTGTCTATTGTTATGGAAGTTTCAATTGGGTAGTATGTCTGAGAACTTGCCACTAGTTTAGTACAACTACGCTCATTTTAGGTCAGTGCTGAGGCTAATGTATCCCCTCTTCGCAGGGTGGGGCTGAGAGCAGAGGTGCCTCTTTATTGCAAAACGCCATTGTGCTCATGAAATCTTTCTTTGTCTGCCCTTGCATTTCTTCCCAACAATGGAAAAATTTAAAGTGAGAACAATAGGTGATTCAAAAGAACAAGGAAAGGCAGCAAGAGCGGAATGACTCGGACTTTTTTCCTGAAAGTGACACATGGCTTGTTAATACTTTAACTGGATATTCTTGAATATCTGTGCTTATTTGTAAGACTCTGTAGCTGTAGTGGAGTGAACAATCGTGTCCTTATGTTTATTATGATAATTTGTGATGAGTATGTTTGAAAGAACACAGCGAAGTCAAGCAACATGAATGAACATTAAATAGTACACACCACATTACAGACATTTTAAAATCTTTTTCAGTGCCTGTAGTCACTGAAATCACCTCCACAGTATGGCAAAGTGATTCTATTTAGCAAAAAAAAAAAGGATAACAAGTGTGAAGTAATGATCAAAAGCCATTAGGAAGAACCTCAAATACATTAAAGACACTCAAAACCCCTCAGTCCTAACAGGAGTGCTCCACCTGACCAATGCAGGCTGCACTCCTGGCCCAGCAGACGAGGGATGGTGTGGTTGAGATGCTACAACTGGGTCTGTGCTGGACCACCTCGGCCACCGGGAGCACTGTTCCCCCGCGCGCTGCGCCGCGTCCCTGGATACCGCCGACGCGCTCTGCTGCGCGCTGCTCCGCTGGTCAGAGGCGACCGAGCGGACTGCGGATGAAAACCCCGGGGACAAAGTGACACTTCGGTCGCTCTGCTTTCAGCTCCATGCCGAATGACGAGGATGGTGGTGGTGGTGGTGTTGATGAAACGCAATGGAGCAGAGCAGGGTGGATTAATTGTGCGCCATGAATGACAGGTACCACAAGGCGGCCCGGGACGGATACCTGGACCTGCTGAAGGAGGCGACTAGGAAGGATCTCAACGCACCGGACGAGGATGGCATGACACCGACGTTATGGGCCGCTTATCACGGCAATCTGGAGGCTCTGCGGCTGATCGTGGGAAGGGGGTGGGTATGATTTATGTGTGAAGTGATCTATCATGTGCCATGTCCATCTTCTCACATTTAGAGTTTCTGCAACTGAACCAAAAAAAAAAAAAAAATGAAACCCTCTAAAGTAACAGTGCACCTCTAGGTCACCTTTTACAGGTTGCATTAGTTAACTGAGTTGAAGACTTGATATAGAAAGTGCATCTAAACAAACAAACAACAAAACGTTTGGTGATTATTTACTTATACACATGTGATAAATCCCAATGTTTGCTGGACAGTATTAAAGTATTTCTACAATAGCAGCAGCAGCAGAAATAAAAAAATAAAAATAGCTCACATCCACATGATCTTTGCACATCTGTATATAGCCTCTTGGGTCTTGTTTGTTTGTTTCTTTGCAGTGTAATATATTCATTTTTTCTGTAAGAGCTTTATTGACTGAAATCACAAGTATAACTTTTAGATGGATTAATTAAAAACTCACACTTTTTTTTTTTTTTAATAATAATGTGACTGTTGTTTTCCAATATTGTCTATTGTCCCGACACTAATGATCCCCAGAGATGTCATTTACTTTTTTTTACAAATACATGATGATAAAAGACTGTTATTTCCAAAGCCTGTATGACTAAGAGAAACTTAATATATATATATGTGAAACTGAAAACCTCTGTCATTTAATGTTAAGCCTCAAGCCTCAGTGATGACTTTTTCACTTCTCAAAATTATATATAAATATTTTTTATACAGAATGTTACTGTACAAAAGACTTCCAGCACAATAGATACGTATACATAGACCACAACGAAATCATAAACTCCTATTTAAAATGGGCTATTTGAGTAGTTTCATATGTGCCAATTCATCATGAGGAAGTACAGCCAGAAAAAAATGTCTCATGAAATTAACAGCAGATTATGTAATTGTAGCATGCCACATCATGTTAGCATGCTGGCCATACTTCAAGCAAAATGCGCTAATGCGATTGGTATTTACACACGACATCCCATTTCTCATCATATCTGGCTGACCTGGTTTGCATGCCAGCAAGAACAAAATAGGCCCATTATGACTCTGCATAATTGAGTAAAGTTTAGAAGGGACATCATTCATCAGCGTTCAGTTGATTGAAAGCAAACGAACAGGAAAAAGTGTAGGACATTTATTTAAATAGCCTGAAGTTTCCTGAATGAAACCAGCGCTAAACCCAGGAAGACTATCGACTGTTATGCAATGTCGAATTCAGCATTTCCCACAAGATGAGTGCAAACAACGTGATGGCATTGAGCTGTGAAGGACACATCGTTATTGATAGCAGCAGACATAAACCACAGATTGACATGAGGTTGTAAAATTAAGCCTTAATAGGTGTTGTAACTCAAGTGTGAGACACGTGATATAACGAAGAGAAGTTTAATGCTGCTTGACACTGTCATGGGAAAGATGCCATGCCTGCTGTATATAAGGCGAGCATACCGCCTTGGATGACTTGCAGTGACATTAAACTGTCAGGAAGTGAATACGCAAACAGCCATAATGTGATAAAGAGTAGGGGACTGATAAGTGAGCAGACCTGTCACTGCTGTGGTGAGCGTTTTAATAGGACAGACTTAAATTATGACACATAAAGATATCATGTTAGATGTCTGCTTACTGTGACAGCCATATTGCATAATCTGAGTACAGAAGGTGATAAATTCATCTCAATATAAAACTGGAACAGAGCTCATTTCTATCTTTTCACATCTATTTACAGCCCTGTAGATTCCTTGATCTATTACAGCACCTTGCTGACAACATAAGTCCTGTGTTTGATCATTGTTTTATTGTTGCATTTCTGTTCTTGCACTTTATCCTGCACAGTGAAAACAACCCGGTTCCTCCATTTGTACGTGTATGAACTTTTTTTTCCACCATTTAAACCTAATCCTGTCCACACATAAAGAGCAGAGGGCTGAAATCAGAGTGCTAATCGCTGCGCAAGTTGGGTCTGGCAGATCTGACACACATTCTCTGTGAAAACCTTACAGCGCCATCCATCAATAATACATCTGCACTTCAACAGTAGCTTCACGTCCTTTGCATCAAATATTCAGCAGTCTGTACGTGGCTACATTAGAGGACACAGACAGGACACAAGGGCAGTTCAGTAGGCATGTAAATACAGGATGGGGACGCCAAACAAGAGGACGTGAAACTGACCACGTATACAGAATATTTAGCTAAAACTGTAATACCAGCAATTAGCTGTAGTGGACACAAATAAGCCAAAACATGTCATAGCAACAAGATATTCAGTTTCCTTTTTACCATTACGGTTATTAATAAGCTACTTGATGGAATACTAGTTTGAACTAAATATTAGTAATGAGTAAACGTATAGGCTTTAATAAACTGGCATACATGGCTTCTGGAAAGAAATATACAGTAACAAGCCCCCATACAAATCTGTGCTTCATGTCATCCAACCAGCTTTAATACTTTGTGTTTTGACTCGAGGAACTCAATGTGACATCAGCAGCTATTCACAATTGTGCTTTTTGAGTCAGGTGCAACCTATGCGTCCTCCCCTGAAACAGGATACAAGTAGTGGTGCTGGCAAGCCTGTGGTCATATTACAGACCCAGCAGCAACAGTGCAACAAACATAGAGGTAACCCTAAGGTCGAGGACCGTCAGGGAAGGGTAAAAGTGGCTAATTATTGTTTTAATGTGGCCCTTGCATAATTGTGATGTGTAGGATTGTTTCGTTTTCAATCAAATGCACTTTAAAAGTTGTCAAAGCCTTTTAAAAAGAGTAGTTGTCCACAGAAGATCAATGCTTGTTTTTTGAATTGGCAACGTGCTGTTCAGACTTTAAATTATTAAATAAGGTCCAATTTACAACGCACGGATGGCAGGTCAGTGCTGAAAACATAATCAAAAAAATCACATGGTTACTCATAAGTGAGTCATCTGAACCGCGGCCAGAAAGAATGCAACCTTTAAGCCATAAACTGTGTCTTAATCTAAACAGGGATGGCAATATTTATCCAATAAATTCTTCTCTGAGTCAAATGCTTATTTCTAACATCTTTCCTGTGGCTTACAGAGGGAACCCAGACAAGTGTGACATATGGGGGAACACGCCACTCCACCTGGCAGCTGCCAATGGTCACCTCAACTGCCTTTTCTTCCTGGTGTCTTTCGGTGCCAATATATGGTGCCTGGACAATGACTACCACACACCATTGGACATGGCCGCCACAAAGAATCACATGGATTGTGTCCGGTACCTGGATTCCATCGCTGCCAAGCAGACGGGCCTCAATCCCAAGCTGGTCAGCAAGTTGAAGGACCGGGCATTCCTTGAAGCTGAGCGTAGAATCAAAGAGTGTTTGAAGATGCAGAAGAAGCACCACAAACGTATGGAGCGAAAGTTTCATAAGGAGGCCTCTGAGGCTTCGGCATCAGACGTCATGAGCTTTTCCAGTTACACCAGCAGCTCTATTAGCCACAGGCTACGCAACTTCAACACAGCCACCGTCAGTGTGCCATATTCTCAGGTTAGGATTTTAATTAGTTTATTGTGAAAGGTTTGAGTTTGTTTATTTTTCATTTTTGCATGATTTAGTACAGTACCAAAACAAGACTAAGCTAAATGCTGAAATAGTCATAGTGGCAATTCCAGCAATCTGCACCATTTTTTTTTTGCATGTTCACCATCTGTGTTTAGCCTACTTGCATACTAACACTGGCTACTTAGCATTAAATTACAGGTTTAATTATATTTTTGGGGGCTACACACTAAAGTATTGGACACATGAAACATTTGCCCCAATGACAAAGCTACAGTAAAAGTGAGGAGAGAAGAAAAAATCTTACAGCTCGTCAAGACATGTCACTAAGACCAAAAATGTCATGGTGGTGCTAGAGAATATCCTTGTAAACATCTGAATACCAAGGCGAGATATCCAGTAGGTCTCTATGTTTGTTCTCTGTCATCGAGGTCATGTAAATCCCAAGACGTCCAGTAAAAAGCAACTACCCAGACATCTCTTTTTGGTTTTTGA